AATAACAAATATAATTAAGTAAATAAATAATTCTCTAAAAAAATTAAAAAAGACAATAATGAATGCTTACTTAAATGGTTTTCTGTGATGCTCTTAATCAAGTTAAAGATTTTTTTCTATTCTTAGGATCCTTAACTGAGGAAGGGATTATTTTCCAATAGATCATAAAGTCGAATTTTGTTAGTCTGAACCATTATTTCAGGGATTTTCTATACAATATAACATAGACATTGGAGTAAAACATTTTTCCAGGTGTCAAAGGTCATGGGGCTATCTTAAAATTCTACCCACTATATTATAACTTTAGAGTAAAATTTGAGGTTGGAAAAAGTAATCCTATATTTTACTTATCTTTTTCAAAATTGTTTTGGCTATCCTTATTCCTTTGGATTTCGATATAAGTTTTAGGATTGACTTATCATTTTCCATAAGAAAAAAACTTTAGGGACCAGCAGTTAGCATAATGGCTATGTTGCTCGACTCCCATGTAGTTGACCACGGTTCGCATCCCGGACCCAGTGGCTTAAAATTCATGCCGGGCATGTGTGCGTGTGTGCCCAAGATCCCGAGAGGAGAATGGAGGAGAAGGGATTGCAGCGTGGCCATCCACCATGGGGGTTGATTTCTCGCTTACTGTCTCTCTGTCTCTCTCTGTCTATCAGGCGAGCGCACGCGCGCTATAGTAAAAAAAAAAAAAAAAAAACACCTCTTCAAAAAGAGAAAACTTTAAAAAAATCTGCTAGTATACAAATATACAGATCGCTTTGGGAAGAACTGCCATTTTTTAAAAATTATCTATACAATTTTATTTATTCCTTCATTTCTTTTCATTTGACCAGAGAGAGAAAAAAAAGGGAAAGTGGGAAAGCAAGCCACCACATCCAGGACTCAAATCACAGTTGGCCATGTGGGTGTCCAGCACCTTAACCACCATGCCACCTGCTGGTCCCAGAAGAACTGCTATTTTAATACTGAGTCTTGCAGCTCATAAACATGAAAATCATTTCTATTTAGAACTTCTTTTATTTTTTTCAGCAATGTTTTATAGTTTTTAGATTACAATGCTTACACTTTTGTTAAATATATCCATGTCTAAATTATTTATGGTTAAACAGAAATAAATTTGATCTTTGAATATTGATCTTTTATCCTGAAATTAAATGCTGAACTCCTTTACTAGGTCTATCAGTTTTGTATGTGTTTATGAGTGAATTCCTTAGCATTTTTAATATACAGAATCATATATTGGTGAATAGTTTTTCTTTCTTTCCACCAACTTAATTATTTTTTAAAGAATTATTTTATTTAACTTTATTTATTTATTTATTTTTAATTTGATCAGAGAGGGGCAGAGAGAGAGAGACAAAAAAGAGAGAAAGTGAGAAAGCAAGTTGCCAGGTCCGGGACCTGAACCGCAGTCAGCCATGTGGGAGTCCAATGCCCCCAATGCACCATGCCTCCTGCCAGCCCTCTACCAACTTAATTCTAGAAGCATATTTGCTCCAGTATAGCTCCTTTCCCTCCCTGCTTTTTTTTTTTTTTTTGTAAATTGTAATATGTACACCCACACGCACAAAGATAGAATATTTATATCTTATAAGCTTAACAATCCAATTTTATGATTATTGTTTCACTTTGGTGTCTTCGAAATCATTTTTAAAAAAGGAAAACACATAATTATCTTTATTGGTGTTCTTTACATTTCTTTGTATGGATTTAAGTTATTGACTCATACCATTTCCTTTGATCTGAACAGACTCCTATTGCAACTAATTCTTTCAGTCTTTGTTTATTTAAGAATGTTTTTATGTCACCTTCATTTTAATAGTTTTGCTTGATTGCCAGGTTTTTCTCCTTCAGCACTCTGAATGTGCCAACCCACTGTTGCTGTTCTCCACTGTTTCTGATGAAAATTCAGCTATTAATCCTATTCTTGTTTTATCTACAGACTTTTATTCTATGAGGAGCTTAGTAGTATAAAGAATATCATACCTTCTTTAATTTGGTTTCTTTGTCAAATAGAAGTACAGTGATGCTTCTGAACTGCCAGTAACATCTGGGTTTATTATAACAAAGTGGTACTAATAACTTGAAACTAACTTAATTTTAAATAAGAATTAAGATACATATTATACATTAAAAACACGATAAAATGCATAAAATAAAATTAGAGTTAATATGTCAAGGTTTATTATCACAACATTTCCTTGTGATTGTTTTTAGTTTTGTCCTTGGAGGTTAAGTTTCAAGAAGGCAGTATTAATTATGATTGGTCTCTAGTGAAGCCTCTAATAAAATCACTAGATCCAATGTAAATCATTAACACCTGAGAGAGGTTTTTTTTTTTTTTTTAAAGATGTTTTTGCTATAAGGCGCATGCGCTCACCAGACAGACAGAGAGAGACAGAGAGACAGAAAGCAAGAAATCACCCTCCAGGGGGGATGGCCACACTGCAATCCCTTCTCCACCATTCTCCTCTTGGGATCCTGGGCACGCACACACACGTTCCTGGTGTGAGTTTTAAGCCACCGGTTCGGGACACGAACCGTGGTTGACTACATGGGAGTCCAGCAACATAGCCATTACGCTAACTGCTGGCCCCAACACCTGAGAAAGTTTTAACTCTCCCCTCCTTCCCCAGTTTCAGTAGTTCAAAAAGGATTGGTCTTCTTGTCTTTATCCTTAAGTTTGTAAGACTTAAAATGGGAAGTGAAAGATTCCCTTGCCTCCCCTTCCATGACCTTGCCAAATGAGTTGCTTCAGTTTTGTGCCCTGTACATACACCTATGCCATATGGAAAAAGGAAGTAGACATATAAAAGCAAAGGTGAGAAATCTAATCTTCATGGTACTATTTTCTCTAGGCTGCCCAAGAGCAATGCACAAGGGCCACTTTAAAAACTGTCTGACCTGTTGATAAAATACATGGTAGTATCTTTGATTTGAACCAATGAACAGTGTATTCAGGATGGGAAGATTCATTTGGCATGCTGTAATGACACACAGTGATTGAATGTAAAAAAAATAATAAAGAAAATAAAACACTGACCTATTTACAAAGTGGTAGGGAAAAATCTTTTTTTTTTTTTTAAGAGATTTTCACTGTAGGGCGCGTGCGCTAGCCAGACAGACAGAGAGAGACATAGAGACAGAAAGCGAGAAATCACCCCCCAGGGGGGATGGTCACGCCACAATCCCTTCTCCTCCATTCTCCTCTCGGGATCTTGGGCACGCACGCACACGCGCCCAGCGTGAGTTTTAAGCCACCGGGTCCGGGACACGAACCGCGGTCGACTACGTGGGAGTCCAGCGACATAGCCATTATGCTAACTGCTGGTTCCCGGGAAAAATCTTATAAACAAGCAAAATTAGCTGCTACCCACTTCTGCCTCATTTCATAACCCAGATTTTCAGGAAACAGAACTAAAGAAAATATTTTACATTACAATACAAACAATTTAAACTTCGGCTATTTTTCCTTTTTATAAAAAAAATTTTGCTATAAGGTAAATTTATCTCTCTTGTCAGAGAGATACAGAGAAAGAGAGCGAAAGAAAACAAGAGAAAGTGAGAAATCACACACCAGGAGGATGGTCATACCACAATCCCTTTTCCTCTCTGTTTCCTTTTGGGATTTGGGCATGCACACACATGCCCCCAGAGTTTTTTCAAGTTACCAGGTCAGGATGTGAGGCACAGATCTGGCCATATGGGATCTAGGCTCCTTAACTTCCGTACTACTTGATAGCCCTCCTTTGGCTATTTATCTTAAAAATCTATGACTTCAAAAACAGCATATGGTACAAGTCTCAGTATACAACATTCTAACAAAAGTATTATTTTTACTCTTCCATATGTTTGAGATTTAGGTTAAAAACTGGTGTTCTCTTAGCCAAAAACTCTTAACCCATCTAAAACAATTGTCTCTAGGTTGAACAGCAATGGTGTTCTTTAGAAGGTCTGCAAAACACCATAAAGTGACCTGATACTAATCAAAGGGGAGTATCACACTTTAGTACATTTTCCAGATTTTGATATTTAATATGAATAAATTTAACCCTACTACATAGTTTTTCGTACATTTTAACACATAAGGCTTACATTCAACTCTTTGAAGATTTAAACTCATATGAATTTGAAAAGACATCAACTATCAGTTGCTAGAGGGCAAAAACTTTCTTCCTAAATTGCTAGAGAACATGTGCATTCACCAGAGAAAGGAACAGAAAGAGAAAAAGAGAAATCACTCCCGATGCTCACAATCCCATATCCTCCATTTCTTCATCCTGTCAGGATTTTGGGCACACACACACACGCACACACACACACACACATTTCTGGTGTGTTCTTGAGCTGGTTGAGGCTGGGATTTGAACTGTGGTCAGCCACTTAACCACTAGGATAGAGGGCTGGCTACAAGAACTTTCTTTAGAGCTTGTTTCACATCACAGCTGACAGATTTTCTAAACATTCAATTATACAATACATCCCATTTGATTATACACATGTTTCTATATAAGCCTTCTCATATATATGTGATTAATATATATATTTGTATACATAAATATATGCAAAATATTCCAGTTTTCTCCAGTTAAAGTCTTTATAAGTCACTAAGTCACTTTTATTATTTTAAAAATTGTAAACATGAGTTAGAAAAGTCTTACTAGTAATTCCCATAATGACAGTGAATAACAAAGAGCTCATCTGATCTTCTTTATTAACAGGGCACTGCATTTTCTTTACTATCCCTATTGCGCTTTTATATGACCCAGGAGTTTCCCTACTGACCCACTGCCTGCTTCAAGTCAAGTAAACTCTAGGCACCAGAAACAAAAGAGAAAAAGCAAAGAGGGAGGTGAGGGATATCAACTCAATCACATGCTATATTTATATGATTCAAAACTATTATATGCTGTGTGATAACATAAACAGTAAATGAATCTTCTGACATCTTGCAGACTCATTAAAGACAGAAAATTAAGAATAAAGATACTTACCTGTTGTTCCTGCATTCTGGCAGCACCAAGTTCTGAGAGAGACATAGTGAGCTTCTCCTGCTGTTCTGAGAGATATTTTTGATAGAGGCTTAGAAGTTCTTGGCATTCTCTATATTGCAGCTGAAGAGGTAAGATTGCAAATTAAGGGAAAGAAAAACTAAAAAATGGATTCAAACTGTATTCAACAGTACTGCTTTAAGATTACAAACAGAAACAGAAATGTAATAATATTTGGTAGATTACAAACAAACAGAAACAGAAATGTAATAATATTTGGTAAAACAGCAGGAGAGTATTAAGTCTTCACATAAAAACAATATACATGTCCTTCCCAAAATCATAAAACAGTAATTCATAAAGCAATAGTTATCCTATTTGAAGAGAAATTGTCTCTAAATTCTTCATTTTGAATAAGTTTTAAAAATGCATAAAAATGTAGAGAAACCCCTACCTTACAGCCATATAAAATTGAAAATGGATCACTGATCTAATGTAAAAATTAAAACTCTTCTGAGTAACATAAAAACATATCTTTGTGACTTAATATTAGGTAATACTCACTTAAAAGCACCAACTACCAAAGGAAAAAAAAATAAATTAGACTTCAAAATTTAAAACTTTTCTGCATCAAAGAATACTATTAAAAAATTGAGAAGTCCTCAGAATAAGATAAAGTATTTTAAAGTCATGTATGTGATAAAGTACTGGTATCTAGAATACATAGAGACCTTATACAATACAACAGTATAAAAGACTATTAACCCAATTAAAAATGATCAAAGACTTTGAATAGACATTTCCCAAAAGAAAGCATAGAAATGGCCAAGAAACACAAGAAATTTACTCAACAAAATTAGTCATTAGGCTATGTCGCTGGACTCCCACGTAGTTGACTGCGGTTTGCGTCCCGGACCCGGTGGCTTAAAACTCATTCCGGGCGCATGTGCATGCGTGCCCAAGATCCCAGAGGAGAATAGAGGAGAAGGGATTGTGGCGTGGCCATCCCCTCTTGGGGGTGATTTCTTGCTTTCTGTCTCTCTGTCTCTCTGTCTCTCTCTCTGTCTGGCGAGTGCACGCACCCTATAGCAAAAACCTCTCCAAAAAAAAAATAATAATAAAATTAAAAAAAATTAGCCATTAGGGAAATCCAAATCCAAACAATGATCTACCACTCAGCATCTGTTAGGAAGGCTATTATTAAAAAAACAAACAATAACAAGTGTTGACAGAAGTATGAACAAATAGAAACCCTCTTATACAGCTAATGGCAATGTAGAATTATGCTGTTCCTTTAAAAAATAATTTAGCAGTATTTAACAAACTTAGACATAGTACTGTATTGACCCAGCAATTCCATCCCTAGGATAGACACAAAATAATTGAAAATATTATGTTTACATAAAAATCATACATGCATATTCACATCAGCATTAATCATAGTACTGAAAAAATGAAGATAGCCTAAATTATCACCAACTGATAAAAGACAAACAAAATGCAAAATATATACACAATACAATATTTTTTGGCCCTAAAAAGGAATAAAGTACTCCTGCATGCTATAGCATGGATGAACCTTGAAACTATTATACTAAATTTAAAAAGCTAGATATTATATAAAAAGCAATATATTATATAATTAATTTAAATGAAATTTCCAGAATAGGTAAGTCCATACAGAAACAAAATAGGTTAGTGGTTCCTAGTGGGTGTGGAATTAAAAATGAGAAGCAACTGCTAATGGGTTTGGGTTTGGGTTTGGGTTTGGGAGAATGATAATGAATATGTTCTGGAATTAGTCCTGTTGTTTGCACTCCCTTTAGGAACACTCTCACAACCATTTACATGTATATTTAAAAGAGTAAAGTTTAGGGACCAGTAGTTATTAGGACCAGATCTAATAACTTTCGTCAGTCATGACATAACGTAATGGCTATGTCGCTGGACTCCCAGGTAGTCAACCGCAGTTCGTGTCCTGGACCCAGTGGCTTGAACTCATACCGGGTGCATGTGTGTGCATGCCCCAAATCCCAAGAGGAGAATGGAGAAGGGATTGTGGTGTGGCCATCCCTCCCCCCCAGGGGGGTGATTTCTCGCTTTCTGTCTCTCTTTCTAGTGAGTGCATGCACCCTATAGCAAAAACCTCTCCAAAAAAAAAGTGAAGTTTATTGTATGTGAATTATATCTCAATAAAGCTGCCACTGGGAACCAGCAGTTAGCATAATGGCTATGTCGCTGGACTCCCACGTAGTCGACCGCGGTTCGTGTCCCGGACCCGGTGGCTTAAAACTCACGCCGGGCGCGTGTGCGTGCGTGCCCAAGATCCCGAGAGGAGAATGGAGAAGGGATTGCAGCGTGACCATCCCCCGGGGGGTGATTTCTCGTTTTCTGTCTCTATGTCTCTCTGTCTGTCTGGCGAGCGCACGCGACCTATAGCGAAAACCTCTCCAAAAAAAAGGAAAAATAAAAAATAAAGCTGCCACTAAAAACAATGAATAACAGAAGTAATGACACTGTTTTGTTAAAAATATAATTACTGGCTAATTTATACAGAAATTTCCTAATTACATTAAACATAAAGGGATTATAACTTAGTTTTGTTCGTTTTGGCTTGCATCATATCAGGTAAGTTAATACTTCATAAATTTCTGCCCATAAACCTAAGCTTTTCTTTACAGTCTGGTATAACGAATATGGTAACATAACCTAGGTACTCTCGCCTTTAGCTTCTAAAACTTGCAAGATAAAAATATTAAATCAGAAAGGTCACCTATCTTTGTAGATAAAATATCTAGAGGACTATTCTATTCAAAGGAGAGTCTGTCTGTTCCTTAATTCTCAAAGTGGTGATTTCCTCTCTAGGTCCCTGGTTCCTTCAAAATATTTCTAAATCCCCTCCCTTAACACTTAATTATGTATGCCACTGGCATAAGAATTACTGTGCAATGGGATTATTCTGTATAAATACTTTTACAACAGGTCATCATGATTATGGGTGAGAACAATATTTTCCTAAATGTCAAAAATGGTAACTGGTTTTAGTATTCCTTAACATTTTCATACCCTAATCATTGCTTCTGGGCAGATTCTGGATCTAATAACTTTTGTCAGTCATGACTGCATAAATAATCAATTGCTTCATTATTCTAATTATTAAACTTTAACCAAAAAAGGAGCTGGAGATAGCTTATTGGAAAGAGCTAGTACATAGTGAAAAGAAAGGTTACTAAGGTTAGAAAATACAATAATTAGAAGAGCTTGTTCAACAAGCTTTAGAATACTTGGTATCCGAAAAACAACTATAACAATAGTACGAACAGTGGGCAAAATAAGCTAATAGAGTTTCCAGGTCAATCTACAATGGCTAGGCTGATTTTACATTTCCATGCCTTTTGTCACTAAGCTCCAAAAGACAAGAATGATTTGTAGTGGTCCCAGGAGACTTTGCCAGCTATTTTATAATTATAAAAATAAAGAATTTTATATATATAAAGAATTTTTTATTCTAGTTGTCACCATAGGCAATAATGTTTATAGTAGGTGAACAATTAGCCTGGTCACAGAATATGAATTTTGCTCTGGAAAAAATCAGCCACAATTATATAGCGTAGAAGTTAACTGTCAGCATTTGAGACAAATTATAGGCAAATTAATTTAAACATGCTATCTGGTAGAATATAAAAACAGGTAGTCCTATCCTCATCAATTTTTTATGTGTTTCTTGATTTACTAAATTTCAAATGTCCCCCCTCTATCCTCCATAGCACAGTGCGAATTTAACCCTCCATCCAGAAAAACAAAATTTATGTTAGAAAAATGTGAGTAAAATGCTCCTAACCTAACTTGGGGAGAATAATGAAAGAGAGGACATATTTACTTTAATCTTGGCCAACTGACAGAAAGGAACATTCTAGATGTAGAAAATCAAACCTAAAGAAATATATATGACAAACCATGACATAAATTTAATACACTGGAGTCTGTTAACCACCATGTAATAATTAAGAGAAGCCCAGCTGCACACACCAGTAATGAGCTGCTTAAGAGAAGCAGGCCTCACATGACATCCCAGTCAGCCAGAAACACACCAGGCATATACACAAGTGCAAAGGACCTGACATATGGAGAACTTCAGGAAGGGGATCACAACATGACCAAACCCCGTGGATGGTGCTCTCTCCTCTTTCTCTCTCTCCTCTCTCTCTCTTGCACATATATACTCTATTATGAATAAAGAAAAAAATTATAAAAAATAAAGAGAATGAAGAGAAATAGCAGTCATCACAACCTCTTCAAAGGAAGAAGCAGTCATAGGATAATATAAATATATACAACATTAAGGAAGATCACAACAAAACCTAAATGTCAGATGAATTAGCTGAAATGGCTGCCTGAAACGATCATTTTGCCAGACCAGCTGATGGTGTAATGGTTACACTGCTGGACTCCAATGTAATCGACCATGGTTTGAGCCCCAGAACCAGCAGCTTAAAACAGGCTGGGCCTGAGTTCGTGCATGCCCAAAATCCCAAGAGGAGATTGGAGGAAAAAGGACTGGAGACGGCCATGCCATCTCCATTGGGGGGCGATTTCTCGCTTTCTGTCTCTCTGTCTCTCCAGTGAGCGTACACCCCTATAGCAAAAATCTCTCTCTAAAAAAAATAAAATAAAAAGAAATGGTCATTTTTGCAAAGCTTAAAGACTTACTCTAAAATGCATAATATAGAAAAATAATACCAAAAAAATCAAAGGAGAATGAATAGGGAGATGAGTGATAGTATAAAGTTAGAGAAAATCAGTTTTGTGAAAATTGTGAATTTTGAAACATCTATGCATGGATTTCAGAAACTTGGTATCATGATAATCTTGTACTTTGGGGCCAGCAAATGGTGTAGAAGTTACATTGCTGGACTCACATGGCCAAGTATGGTTTGAGTCCCAGACCTGGTAGCTTAAAAAAGCACATTGGGTGCATGTGTGTGCATGCCCAAGATCCTGGAAGGAGAAGGGATTGCAGCCTGGTCATCCTCCTGAGGGGTGATTTCTCACTTTCCCTCTCACTGTCTCTGTCTCTCCCCTGAGCACATGCACCCTAAGTCAAAAACTTCTTAAAAAAATGG